TTTTTTTTAATTATTTATTTAGTTTCTCTTTGTGAGGCTGAAAATACTTTTAAGTTTGCCCATCATTACTGAAGATGAGGTCTCCAGTTGGTGGAGTTTAGCTGTTTTGAGTTAAGGTTACAAAGAACGGATAAACCTCACTGTGTTTATGTTGAAAAAATCTATTGAATCAGTTTTGCACTATTATTGATTCCTACAGCTGCTAAATGGTCTGAGGCACAGTTTAATTTTTGCACTGCCAAAAGTATACTTTCTACCTGTTTCAATGGCTACAATAAATATGCCTAGCAAAAGTTTCAACATACTGTATGTTGTGTTTTGTTGATCCACTGCTTCATCGTAGTGATACTGGGTACAATGATCAAATTTTACAGTTGTTTTATCGAGCACTATGCCACATCAACCCCAAAATAATGTGTGTGCATTTGTAGAGGGTTGGAAACAATAGAAATAAATTAAAACAGTAGGATAAAATAAAAGAGAGGAAAACAGACATTATAATTTTTAATTTATTTTCATTCATTTCATCATTCACTTGCACTCACACTACTACACTGCCATTGCACGTTCAGGTCGCTAGGTGGCGCATTGTGGTAGGATAGGACTTACATGTAAGCAAGCCAGAGGACTGGCAGCCTCCCTGGCTATCCAGTTAGGGAGGCAACACATTAATAAGAGAATTTAGAGTAAAAAAAAAAAATTAAGTTACTTTCCCTAGTAACTAGTTACCTTGAAAGTAACGAGTAACTTAAAGTAACTGAGTTACTTTTGAAAGAAGTAACTAGTAACTGTAACTAGGTTACTAATTTAAAGTAACTTGCCCAACACTGGTGCTACTGAAGTAACACTGCTCCCTCTGTCTCCCCGTCCGCTCTTAAGTTTCAATGAGCTCTGTGTCCGTGTACGTCCGTGTACTCCGTGTTCAAATAAATACAGGCGGTCATCAAATTCAAATGGCTCATCCAGATTCAGTTGGTCAAAATCGGGTAAAAATTTAGCCATGACTACTCCAAACAGAAGAACTCCTCGCGTTTGTAACTTCCTGCAACAACTCAAATCTCGTGAGATGTGAGATTTCAGAGCCAGACTTTAACTCTCTGAGTGTTTTGACTTGCCACAATAAACATGTCTGAATTTTTACCCGATTTTGACCAACTGGATCTGGATGAACTGTATTTATTTGAACACAGAGTACACGGACGTACACGGATGCAGAGCTCATTGAAACTGAGAGGGATGAGGAGAGAGAGGGAGCAGTGTTACTTCCGTAGCACGTATAATACTAGAAAAGCACTCAGAGAGTGCAGACCTCCGCCAAGTAGGTGATATTCCCTCCCCCTCACGCCCCCCCCAACGTTAGCTAATCGCTAATGTTGGCTAACGTTAGGTAATCGCTAACGTTTAGCTAACGTTAGGTAATCGCTAACATTTGTCAATCGCTAACGTTATGCTACCTTTTCTAACACAGGAATAAACACACCTGTAGGAAAGAAATAGGCAACGTTGCCGTTTATGGCTGTTTAAAAATGTGCTGGCTATAGTACCAGCTGAAGATGTCTTAAATGTAATCGCTAATGTTAGCTAATCGCTAACGTTGGCTAACTTTCACTAACCGCTAATGTAATGTCAATCACTAACGTTACGTGCATGACCAAAACATCAAGTTGGGGGGCAGTTTTAATCAACAGCAGCGTCTTGTACATACTGTGTCACTGAGTCAGGAAAACCCCCATTCAGTCAGACGATACACTTTATGTATTCCAGATGAGCCCAAGTAGGCCTACTCGCCACTGCCAACCGGTGGCGCACGTCTGGTCATGGAATGAGTCTATTGTAAAACTCGGTGAATACAGAGTGCTATTTAGAGTTATTTTATTATTTTATCCACTTTACTTCAACCGATCACCACCAAAATGTTATCATCTGTCCCTTGTCCCATTATCCACCTTTCCTGAAAATTTCATCAAAATCCGTTCATAACTTTTTGAGTTATTTTGCAGACAATCAGACCAACTCCGGCAAAAACATAACCTCTTGGCGGAGGTAAAAATTGCAACAGGCAGAGGAGCATGTCCGAATCCAGCTAAGCACAGACATTCATTTCTCCTTTCCGTTATGTTGTCGGATAATTATACTAACAATCCGAGCCTATCCGCGTGAAAAAAAAAGCACTTTTAGTGGATCTATTTTGACGTTGTTTGATGCTGTCTGAGTGCCCTATTATTTAATATAGCATGCGCTCACGGGCTGCAGGCAGGTCAGCCTGAGCTTTGTACTGGAGAAATGTCAAATACTGAACATCCTATCACTCATTTAGACAAAAGTAGATCGGAAAATAGGGCAAATGCTGTGAACACATGCTTGAATCTAACACATAGTGAGTCAAATTGTCTGTGTAGTTTCCACAGGAAAACCACAGCATGCACTTTTATCATGTTTCTTCTTCACAACTGATGGCCTCGTCTTCAAAGTCTTAAATATGTGATCCTGATAAACTTGAAACAGGCTTAATGCTACATATGCCTGTCCTGCAACTCCATCAATAGCAATTCCTTGTATTTAATGTACTGTCCAAGTCCAAGTCACCTTTACCAGTGACCCTTTCCTCTTGTGAAACAGTAGGTGTAGCGATCACTAAATGGCTGTGGGGATATGCACATTGTTTTGTCCTCTGCGCCAACTTGTCATCAAATTGAACATACATTGTTTTTAAAGAAAATATCACCATATGTATGTGTCCCTCTGCCACATACCCCATTAATAGGTCCAGCGATCACATCCACGTTTTTATTTAATATTACACTTGCATTTTCTCAAGGAAGCAGCTTTTCAACTTAACATGTAACACACACTTTAGTATGATGTTTCCCTGCTTTCTTATTCCTATTAATTCTTGAGATGTTTTCAGTAATGGCTCCAGATTATGATTACTAACTTGAGCATTTGTTGGAAGTGTGTACAAAGATAAACTGTCTTCACAAGTTTCATGCATTTTAACAAATCTACGTCACTTGTTTACAGTGGTGTTCCTTTTCAATGTGTCCTTTCTCACGCAGTGCAAACACAGCATCATTCTGCCTAACAGTGTTTAGCTGACTATTTTAAATACGTTACACCACACGTTAACATCTACTTAGTCAACATACAATGGCTTCCCTTTTACTGGAGGCAACTGGAGAAAAATCTCCCACAGCGACCATACTTCCATTACCGAATGGAGGGAAAACATTAAACACCACTTTGTTAGATCTTACGTGATCTGCAAAAAATATATGACATCAGTTTAAGATCAATCATGGATATTTCATCAACTATTCAAATTTGCAGATTACTTTGGCATGCAAACTATTGATCTTGTCCCCACCCAAAGCTATTTAAAGTAATTTCATGTCTTTGCCATTGCTTGATCTATTTTGAACAGTTGAAGCATATCATTTGCACAGCAATTCAAGTCGGAGCAGTTAACAAAACACAAATGTCCTCAGGTTAATGACACAGTGTCAGCAATAACCTTGATGCCTCATATCGTAGCGCTCTAATTAAACAGCTCATTCCTGTCCCTGCACCATTATTAAAACAGGAAACTGGACCATACTTTTACCACAAATCTTGTCTAAGCGCCATTGTCCTGTCAGATTTTTCGATCTCTGGCAATCTCATAATATCATCAAATGAATGGGCCTCCCAAAATTAGTTGGAATTGTCATCTTCAATGTTTTTCTGCACTGTTTGGTTCCAAAATTTAATACATTTGAACATCAGACCCAGACCTCATTTTTCTAATGCAAGCTCCATTTTAATGTGTACATTCAATACTTAAGCACATTTAATATCATGAAATTACTTTTGATATTCAAGTACAATAAATATCAGATCCTTTAAGACTTTTATTCAAGTATAATTCTAACTGAGTAAATTGAGCTTCTACCAAAGTCATTTTCTGTTAAAATATCTGTTCATTTACTTTTAAGTATGGCTTTCAGGTACTTCACCACTTCCATCACTGATGACTGATATACGGAATCACACACTAGCCAGACCCTGTTACACAAAGTGTGTCAGTACGCACACTGGGATTTAATATTCAGCCCTGGACCGGGGGGACAGAGCAAGACATGAACTTATTCTGAAATACTGAAGTACTGAAAATACAGAGAAGTAGGTGTATTTCAGGGGACATTTGAAATCAATATCTGCTATCCTAATGTGTTTAACTGTAAAAAAAAAAAGACAACAGAAGACTATTGGTATCATGTGGGAGTTTAAGGAATGAGGAAGGAATGGAATGGGAAAAAACAAACACAAAAGGGACATATACTTTCACACCCACAGTCCATATCTCATATCCTTTTACATGCTCAGGGTCAGAAACACAAAAGTGTGCTCTGTAATCGAAAACTGACACAGTCAGGGCAGATAAGGCCACAACTTAACACACTTTGATGCCTATCTCCTTCACCTGATCCCATCATAAAGTGATGGCCATTGTGGAAGCACCTGAGCATACATTCATCGTATGTAGGTCTTCCAACAGGACCATTACTGAAAGCTGATCAATGACAGATGGAGATGATGAATAAATTTGTCAGAAAATGAGTCAGTTGGAGTCTTCTTTGTTTAAGTGAATATCTTTGAGGGTTTTTGACTATTGGTGAGTCAAAACAATATACAGTACAGACACAACCCAGTATACAAATGCCTGTCCTACTTCAAATATACCCATCTAAGCATATCATGATGAATTTGATGCCAAATACCTTTGTACTTTTACTTAGTACATTAAGTTTTCAATGCATGATTTCATAAACTGAAAATATGATTTTAACTGTACGTAAATCTTTTTCAGGTTTTTCAAGTTTCAGCTAACCTCAGGCAAGTTCATTTAATGAACTCCAAAGTACAATATTACTCTCTGAAATGTAGTGGAGCAGAATTAGTTAGTGGCAACTTTTAATTTAAAACTTCAAATATATTTAGTTTAAGCATATCACATGTCTTACCTTAGCAGAGAGTCAAAACGTAGTGTGATCCTGCTCTTTATTGTCTGACTTCCTGGTGATGAATCTAAGGGTGGGGACCACAGACAGCCCTGCAGCATGAATATCTGTCACAGTTAACATCACTGTGGAAGCCTTAAAATTTTCATTACTTTCTCACTGTACTTCCAGTCTCATAGGATTTTCTGATAGATTATATGCTTGTGAAGTATGGACAATTTAAAATGTCTAAATTAAAAGGAAATACAGTACACTTTGTTATATGTGTATTTTTAATGTATACATTAAAGACATATTTCACAGCTGGAGATAGTGGGTTTTTTTTTCATAAAACTGGGCTGTTTATGCAGTAGAAAGACACAATAACTTTGAAATTGGAGCTACATACCAGAGAAAACAGAGGAAAAGGACTACTGTGGCAAGAGGTAGAAAACCCACAACTACCAGAATGCACTGCACCACACCGGACCAACAAATGATCCCGCTGGTGGGTGACTTAATGCCAGTTGAAAACAGAAAGCAATATGGTGGCAGGCTAGAACCAAACAATTTGTTGTATAACAGTTAAACATGAAGTTAAAATATGTTTCTGAAAACATTTTATATTTGATCAGCATTGCCTAGTTTTACTGTTTGGATTTCGGTCTGAGTTTGAGAGAGAGGTAGATGCAGGTCTCTGTTGATCCACATTCAAAAGTACAATATGAAGTTCGTGCAACAACCCTAGAGCCTGTGAAAACTGTGTCATCCAGCATATTATAGTTGGGAGATGAGCCAGGAACTCTGGGCACTGGCAAGATGGACAACGTATTCTCATAGAGCAGTTTGTATGACATCCTATCAAAAAGTTTGTATAATATGCTACAACTTTGTTCCCCATGAATGACGTTATATCCTTAAAGGGATAGTTTGACATTTTGGCAAATTTGCCTATTGCCGTAATCCCTATAGTCATATGGGTAGGTACATTACCTTTAATTGTCAGTGCCTGCTGTTCTGAGATCGGTGGAGCAGAGCTGCCCGCTGCTTAGCGCACAGAATGGAGGTGAACGGTACAGCCCCTTCTCTCCCTCAAAACTAATTAAATACGGAACTTCCGGTATGGCGTCAGGGCTAGTGGCAGGGTAGAAGCAGAGCTCCCAGACAGGTCTATCAATTCCCCAAATATATCCAGTTCAATACGGTTTGAAGTTTATGAATAAACATGGACGGGGATACAACAAGAAAGACGAGAGGCAAATCATCCCAGAAATCAGAAAGAAGAGGAGGAGTGGAGCACCGAAGCTAAAGAGGTGTTAAGCCAAGTCTTTCATACCCAAGAAAACCTCCAAGCAAAACTACTCGACCTTGAAGCACGCTCGAGAAGAAACAACATACGGTTATACGGGATCCCCGAGGATTCAGAGGGAGACAACATGCAGGAGTTTATCGACAATTTCATCAAGTCAGAGTTGTCTATCCCCGACACTGAACTTGGCATACAATGCTGCCACTGGGCACTTGGCCCCAAACCACCACAAAACGCTAACCCCCGTTCAATTGTGATTTATTTCCTGGAATACAAGACTAAAGAGTTGGTGCTCCGCTCTGCCTGGAAGAAAAGAGAAGTTCATCTGAACGGGAATAGAGTGTATTTCGACCAGGACTACCCCGTGGAGACGCAGAGGAAGAGGAAGGCATATGCGCCTATAAGAAAGCTGCTGAAAGAAAAGGGCCTCCGCTTCCAGACTCCACCACCGGCAAAACTCCGCGTATTTTTCGACAGTGGCCCCATCATTTATAACAGTGCAGCTGAGGCAAGGGAGGATCTGAGGAAGAGGGGCTTGATGGCGGAGAGCAGCGGTGATGAAGATCACACCACTACAACACCTCTGGAAAAGCTGAAAAAAATCTCCTGGGAGACGGTGAACAGGAAAACGTCACGGAACTGAGATACATATCAAGAGAGAACCCAACGAAAGCTTCAGGAATACCGCCAGGACACCGGAGACACAGTCTGACCTCTCCTTAGGGTAAATAAGCATATGACTGAACTCCCCCCCGTGATAAGACTAACTTTCACAAATGAACAGACCGAAAATAATTACATACGGGTGGAGAAACAAACTGAACATTTATTGCTGTTTTAGTATCTGGTATTGAAACAAATAGATATTGTTACCTGATTGGGATGTTAAGTTAAAGCCCACACAGTTCAAGTAATAGACCTTAATGTCTGGGGCTTTTAAAAAAATATTGCCCTAACGAACAGGTGCACTGAATTGTATCAGTATAGATATATATCAGCCTGCACTGGGAAGGCCCTTCAAAGAACGAAGGCTTCCCTTCCCAACTGAGGTCTCATTTAAGAAAGAAACCTCAACTATGGAAGTCGGTCTTTCTGAGTGTATGTTCTTGTTTTTTTTGTTTGATGTTACTGTACATAGTTATGTTAAAATGTTGAGGTCCCCATGGGTTTGCATTGAGATGATGTCGACAGTAGATGATGACAAATGTCTCAACAGGAATATAGAGTAATCTCACTTAATGTTAATGGGTTACAAAATCCAATAAAAAGAAGCAAGCTAATAGCCAAGATGAAAAGAGAAAATCAACACATAATTTTCTGGCAAGAAACTCACCTGGTAAGAGCTGAACACGAAAAATTGAAAAACTTAGGATTTAGAAATACTTTTTACTCTTCTTATACTAAAAGCCACGCAAGGGGAGTTGCAATATTGATTTCGAACAAAGTGGCGTTTCAGTTCTCTTCACAAATTGTTGATAAAGAGGGACGTTATGTCCTGGTGAAAGGGACTCTCGACTCTAAGGAAGTTACATTATTTAATATTTACAGACCGCCAGGACTAGACAAAATGCTAATTAAAAAAATATTCGATATAATGGCTACAGAGGTTTCTGGCACTCTTATATGTGGAGGGGACTGGAATGTACAGCTGCATACCACCTTAGACTCCACAAACCCCACAAAAAGAATGAACCCAGAGTCAATATATGTAAGAAAAATGCTTAAAGAGATGGGTTTGACTGATATATGAAGGGAATTCAACCCCTCAGTGAAACAGTTTACTTTCTTCTCCCATCCCCATGCTGTTCACTCGAGGATTGATTATTTTTTTATGTTCAACTCAGAGAGGCATAGAATTATAGATTGCAGTATAGGGGTTAAAGATGTATCTGACCTTGCTGGAGTGTGTTTGAGGCTTCATTTGGATGTTCAACCCAAGAACACTGTTTGGAGACTTAATACAAGCCTTCTGAATGACCATCGATGTGAAGAATATATCAAAAAGGAAATTGCAGAATACCTGGAATTTAACAATAATGAGGACATATCACCAAGTGTTCTATGGGACGCTGCTAAAGCGGTACTGAGAGGAAAAATTATAATATGGTCCTCAATAAAAAAAAAAAAAGAAATGCAGAAACAATTGAATGATCTGTCAAACAAACTTAGAACACTGGAACAAAAGCATGCGGAGCTAAATGAGTCCGAAGTATTAGAACAAATTAAAGTAACAAAACAGAAATTACATAAAATACTTCACAAACAAGTGGAGACCAAACTTAAATATATTAAACAAAAGGTACTATGAAACAGGGCATAGAGCTAAAAAAAATGCTGGCATGGAAACTGCGCAGACAACAAACTGAGAGGTCAATTTTTAAAATAAAAAATCCCAACACCAATGCAATGTGCTATACACTAGATGAAATACAACAGTCTTTTGAAAAATACTACAAAGAATTATACTCTCAACCCAAAGCAGCAGAACTTTCAACCTTTCAAAAAACTTCTTGGAATCACTTGATTTACCATCGATAGGTGTAGAACAAAACAAACAGGTAATGCAGGAAATCACAAAAGCAGAAATAGAGAGTGCCATATCCAGACAGAAAACAAACAAGGTAGTGGGAGGAGATGGTTTTCCAGCAGAATGGTACAAGTCATTTAGAGACTCTCTGATACCCATTCTTCAAAAATGTTTCAACGATGTTCTTGCAGGGGGAGAGACCCCAATTTCTTGGAAACAGGCTATAATATCTGTGATCCCAAAAACAGGTAAGGACAGGACGGATTGCAGCTCTTACAGACCTATCTCAGTTTTAAATATAGATTACAGGTTATTTGCCTCAATAATGGCAAAAAGGTTAGAGAACATCATTCCTCAATTGATAGACGCAGACCAAGCGGGATTTATTAAAAACAGACAGACGCAAGATAATGTAAGACGTGCTCTCTACTTGGTTGAAAACATGAATAAAAATAAGTCAAAGTCTCTGGCAATCAGCCTAGACGCAGAAAAGGCTTTCGATTCAGTAAGATGGGACTTCTTATATTTGGTTCTACAACGTTTTGGCTTCAGGGAGGAATTCATAGGATGTATCAAATCCTTATATGACTCACCAACAGCTCAGATTAAATTGAATGGCAGTCTATCAGGAGTAATTACTCTAGAAAGGGGTTGCCGTCAAGGCTGTCCCTTAAGTCCCACCTTTTTCGCAATATTCATAGAGCCACTTGCTCAGATAATTAGGGAAGATGTTGAAATAACAGGAATCTCAATCAACGAGACTGAGCATAAAATATGTCTGTAAGCAGATGACGTTTTTGTGACCCTCTCCAACCCAGAATCCAGCCTACCTAAACTTATGTCATGCCTTGAACAGTTTGGTTTTTATTCAGGATATAAGTTGAACATACATAAAACCCAAATCCTTTCCTATAACTATTCACCAGATGAGAACACGTGTAAAAAGTACAATTTTAAATGGAAAGCCAACATGATCAAATACCTCGGTATCAATATACCAAAGAAACTGATTAATATCTATAAAGAAAATTATGACACTGCTACAAAGGAAATAAAAACTGATATGGACAGGTGGGCACCCCTAACACTAAATATGTATAATCGAATAGAGATTATAAAGATGAACGTTCTCCCACGATTGCTGTTCCTTTTTCAGTCCCTACCAGTAGAGATACCAATGAAACAGTTCAATGAATGGAATCGATTAATTTCC